AGTTTAAAATGGTTCCTGTAAGTAATTTGAAAGCTCCTGCCATTTTCCTGATGGGATCGTGGCCTGAATGTAAACACAGCCTAGCAGATGACCTGGAAGTGGATTTATATCTGCCATATTCTCTGCTGGGTATTTCTCATGTTCCTTTCACAGCTAAGAAATGCAAGCAAGGGTGAGTGATTTGTGACCCTTTGCCTGGAAAGGCTTGCCTAGAGGCCAGCAGGCTAGGCAGTGTGACGCAGCAGCACAGAGCCCTAAAGGGTGGGAGTCTCCCAGTCCTTGTGTGGGAAAAGGCAGCAGGCAAACCCTTGGATTCCTGCAACCAAAGTGGTTCAATAAGGGACTTCCAGGGCAAAGCTGCCAAGCTGCAGAATAGGAAGCCTGGAAAGAAAACAGAATAGAACTGGAAAAATAGAAGACTTTTCAGTGGAGACATTTATTCTAGTATAGAGATATTGGAATAAAGATTCTAAGCGGACAAATCAAATCAGAGGTGCTTCCAGATGATGTTTTCATCATATAGCCACTCTGATAATAATTACACACCATCGAACTGATTCCAACTTATGCCAACTCTTCCCAGGGTTTTCTAGGTAGACAGTACTCAGAAACGGTTTACCATCCCCTTCTTCTAGAGCAGGAGTCTCCAAACTACAGCCCACAGGCCACATCCAGCCCACCCCAACGAACACCGCAGGCTCAGGTCTGCAGGCTCAGATCTGTTCCCTTCAGCCTGTGCGTGCATACGTGCGTGCATTCCTTTGGCCCTCAATAATGTGTAAAATATATGATGTGGCCCTTGTGCTGAAAAGTTTGGAGACCCCTGTTCTAGAAGAAAATGAGGAAAGCTTTTAAGAACACAGGAGGTATAATCTGGATTGAGGCCATACCCATTTACTTCAGAATCTTAAAAAAAAGTTTAGTACTCTATAATTGTAACATATAGTTCAACATAGGCCAACCTCCAGTGGACTGTAACTACAATGACCACTCACCTTGTTTGGGCTTGCTAAGAATGATGGGAGTTGTAGGCCAAAAACAAATCTGTACAGCCACGGTTGTCCACCCCCGCTGCAAATTTACCCATTTCAAACATTAGGAAGGGCTGGTATAGCTTAGCGGATGGAGCATTTAGATGCAGAGTCAGACATTTAGAGCTTGAATGTCCTATGTACCTCCCAGAAGAAGGTCAGACAAGTTCAATGGCAGCATGTATGGCTGATGGGGTATTATGTCTCCTGATGTTTGTGCTCACAGGGAAAGATGCACAGCCCCAGAGCATCACCAGAGGGAGGGAACAGTAAACTACATCTAAATTATGGTTGTTGTGGGTTTTTCGGGCTCTTTGGCCATGTTCTGAAGGTTGTTCTTCCTAACGTTTCACTAGTCTCTGTGGCCGGCATCTTCAGAGGACAGGAGTCAGAACTCTGATTGTAAATCTAAATGCTTTATACACTTGAAAAGCCTGAGAAGGCTGCCATTAATGTGAACCAAGCTAAAGGAAATCATTCTTGTCATCAGAAGTGAGGCTGAACCCAAAGCCTTCTGCATGCAAACCAAGTGCTGTACTGCTGAGCTATGACCAGACATGGGATAGTCATAGTCACATTTCCAAGAATATGAATAAAAACCATGGCACCACAGGCACCACAGTGGTCCATTCTCTCCCTCAGAACTGGCCGGACCACTCACCAGTCTCCACGCAGCGCTTGAATCCTTTGACAGCGCTTGGTGTGAAGGAGCCCAGCCAGCCCTTCCTTGCCTCCCTGTACAGCTAACCACTTCGGCAAGGAAGAGAGACAAGGAGTCTCCCCCTTCAGCTGATGACTGGTCAGCTGCGTGGGGAGGAAGGGAAGGGCCAGACAGGCTTCTTCAAAGATTGGCGTGCCAGCGCTGCTGAAGGACCCCAGCTCTGCACGGAGATCGATGAGTGGCCCAGCCAGTTCTAGGGGGAGGGGATGGGCCACCGTGGCACTTTTGGTGCTATGGTGTGTATTCATATCCCCAGAGATATGAATAAGAATAGCCCATGGCTAGCTATGACCCTTCCATTTCCCATCCAGTTTGCATTTCGAAAGGTTTCTGATTGTGCTGTTATATAATTTATTTATTTATTTATTTAAAATATTTTACTTCATCTTTTTCCTAATCCAAATGTAGAATTTTAAAACCACAGCCTTTCCATTCATATTACAGGGTAGCTAAGGATTGTGCATGCTATCTGTGTATGAGAACTTAGCAAACACTTCCCATGCTTCACCCTGTCATATATATATATATAAAATCTCACCCAAAGGTTACTGAGGCCATCACAACAGTAGCTGACATTTGAAGGAGCTAGCTAGTTTATAGTTCACAATATTCTTATGTGGAAGTCCCTTTGGGGCTACCCCTATGTGGCCTTTAAACATGTGTTGGGGAAAAGGGAATAGGTTTGGGAAAATCCACTCACAAGCATAATGCCCAAGGCAGCATGTGGGAAAATAAATACTGTACAGGCAATTCAAAAGCACTGAAACACTGCTGCAATTTGCCACAGAGGAGGAAGGTTGCCTTGTTGTTTCCTTTATATGCAAATGTCAATAAATTTGCTAAAGTTTGATTAATCATCATCATGTGCCCAAGTTGATGTACTTTGGGCTACTTGGCCAGTTATGGCCTGTAAGTTTATGTAAAGCTGTAAGGCCACAACTGAAGCAACTCCTTTTGCTTTCTTGATAAGGGCCAAAATTTTCCATAAAGAACAGAGAAGGGGGAAATTAGTGAAAAGGGTTAATATGGCAGTCATTTATAAGCTTAAAAAAAAATCTAATTCGACTATGCTTAGATTGAAAGAGGAACACTAAGTTAATTGTCAAGTGATCTTTACATTTTTACCACCACACTAAAAGCCTAACCAGAATGAAAGTGAAAAATACCAATTATTCATTATTTTACTTTTTCCAACCAAATTAGCTTTGAAATCAAAACCAGGGTTTAGATACACATCTATAAATGTGTCACTTGACTGAAATTTGAATGGATGTTTATTTATTTACTATTCACATGTATGATTCACTTCTACCTGAAAAGCAATATACACGGCTGGAAGTGAATCAATATACCTCCCCACTTTATCCTAAAAACAATCCTGCTAAGGTGGTCAGTGCCAGAGAAAGGGATTGGTCCAGTATCACCTAGTGAGCTTTATCACTTTATGGTTACCTGAGCCTACATCTTGTGGAGGAACCCCCAAATGTGCACTCTATAGCTTCCCTAACTTAATAGCCATAACGAGTTGATGATGTCTTCAGCTGTAGGCTTTCACTGAATATTAGAAGTGTCCTATTCCACCCACCCCCTCAGCTTCCAAGGCTCTCTCTGGGTCCCTTTTGACCTGGGGAAGACTGTGGGAGCCTCAAGCCAGGAGAGGGGAGACTTTATTGGGAAGGAGAACCAAACTGAGAATGCAGCATGGGTGAATTGGTCCTATATTGCTTTATTCCTGCATATCTTCTTGTTACTAATGGCCAAAACAGGGTATGGGGCTCTGATTGTGACTGTAATGGGGGCAAAGGGCTAAATCCCTCATTCCACTGCTCTACTCGGATTCTCCCCATCCCTTTAAATGGAAGCCATTGCTGATGTTTGTGGATAGGAGAAACATCACAGACACATATCTTCAACTGACTTTATTGCTATTTTTAAAAATTCATTAATGTCAAACCAAAAGGGAAAGGGGTGCAAAGGAGAAATACGAGAAGAAAAGGAAAGAGAAAAAGAGGGAATATAAAAATCAAAACACTGGCTAGGTATATTCATTAATGTAAACTGACCATATTTCAAAAAAAAAAAAGATCTGTGAAGTTTGCAACAATAGATGTTCACATGCAGCTAAGGCAGCGAGTTCTTTGACTTTCTTCACTTTTTCAAAGAGGGGAGATTAAATATACTATTTTGGGAATCATATACATGTGATTTTACTGCTAGCTGTTGTCACTCCATTCTTCCATGTTCCAGCGGCTGACCTGCCTGATAGATGGATTTTACCTGACCTTTGTCATTACTACCATCATTATCTTAGAACTGCAAAACTGGAAGGGAGTCTATAGATCATCAAGTCCAGTCCTTGTCAAGAAAACACAGCAGGGAATCAAACTCCCATTCTCTCGCTCCATAGACAGATACCTCAACCACTGAGCTATCATCTTCCACTAAGAACTACAATCTAAGTTTGGGAGACCAGGGCAGATTGCATACCTAACTTTCTCCTACCACATCTACCACCAGATATGAGAGGCCTCACGGCATCTAATAAAAGGGCAAACCTTGATTTTGTACAAATAACCTGGAATCTAGACTGCATATGGCTCATATCCAGGAAAATAACTGCTTTCAAACTAACCCCAAACACTCCTTCAACAAACCCTAGAAAGTATTGCAACCATCATGACAAAACACTTCAGATTCTGTGGGACAAAAATGTTAAACTGATCTGTAATCAAGACCAAAAACTGGATTTAGCCCGACAGGTTTAGTGATTATAAGACTTGGCTACAGATAAGACCAAAAGAGCCCAAAGTATATGGGCATGGCTTCCTCCCCTCTCCCCCGCCTTGCTCCAAGAAATGCTATAAAATGGGGGGGGGGGACAGCAAAACAAACAAACAAAAACCAAGCTTGACCTACTCAAGAAGTATTTTTAAAAATGTTCTATGATGTGCCCAAGAGGGCTGCTGGCTTGCCTCATCAATCTACGTACACTGAGTGAATGGTGTACATGTAAGGAAGCGAGTAAGTGTGCACAAACACTAGTGTGTGTTCCCACCATGCTGCCCTGACAGGAAGCAAGGTCAAGGAGACTAGTACCTCAAAACCATCCCCCTTCACTCAATTAGCAAGATTTATTACCTCCTTCCTACCAATCCAAACTGAGCTGAAATGCAAGCCAGAAACAGCTTTTGCTATAAAAGTCTGATAGACTTGGATTCTCATTTCATAGAAGAAGAAGAAACCATAGATCCAGAGGGACACTTCCCACTGCAGAAACAGTAGCATAATGCAGCGGTACTTGGCCTTTGCAGTGATTACCTGCTGCTTGCTATGCTTGTCCCTTGATGCCTTCCAAAGGTAAGCCCATCTCCTTCTATTTAAGACTTAGCACAGAGGTGAGGAACGTGTGGTCTTCCAGATGTGATCAAACTGCAGGCCCAGCTATCCTCAACTGGTATAGCTAAAGAGGAATGATGGGAGTTGCAGCCCAAAAACATCTGGCAGGCCACATGTTTCCCATGCCTGACATATAACAAATGATGTGCTCTGTTACAAAACTCTTATGCATATGCTAAATAGGAATGTTTCTACTAGGGACCTCATATGGTAAGATTCCAGGCAAATTAGAGTCTCTGAAGCAACTAAATGAGACTGAGGAAAATTGTCTGCATTTACGTTTTTCTAAGGTCATAAAAATAGCTCTGACATGATTTTTAAAATATATATATAATAGTGTTTTTACATATATTGTTGGCATTAGAAGAGGCTGCTTAGACCAGGATGAGGGAAATTGCTGCAACTCCAACATTCAAATATTTTTAAGTGTGTGTCTTTTCTTTAGCATTTATTTCCATGGTGTACTCTGGCTTCCAGTTGTCTCACCTGATTTGTTCTGTGTCTTCTTGCATTAGCTTCAGGTAGGTTATAATCACAAAACATGTCCATGTACACACCATACCTGCATGACCCAGACTGTCCCCAATTATTATTAGGTGGAAGCATCAAAGATGTGCTCTCAGCGTGTCTGTCACTGTCATGACTATTCGGTGCTACTTGTACCATTTTACCAGTACAACCACCTATGGAAACGCTGATGCATTGCTGATATAGCAAATCAAAAATGTCTCGCGACATAGAAAGGAGAATATAATTCTTATGCTGTGTATATGAGTAAACAGTACTACAGATACTTAGAACTTGATTACAACTGAAAATATGGTTTAAGAGCAGCCTCATTGCCATCTTCTGAACCAATTCCCTCCTCAAGTTGAAATGCCTCCCACCTTTGCAATGAGTAATCATTCTTCCAGGTGCATACTTTTTCCTCTTTAAAAAGGTGTCCTGTGTTGCTTTAGCATAGAATTCAGATTTTAAAATAATAGGATAGCTAGAGGTGGGGAGTTCAATTCCCTAATGTGCCTCCTGCAAATAGAGCTATGCAGTCTCAGAATGACCATAGAAGAAGGGAACAGTAAACCACTTCTGAGTATTCTCTACCTGGAAAACCCTGGAAAGGGGTCACCATACATCAGCATTGACTTGACAACACATCATGATGATGATGATGATGATGATGCAAAGATAGCTATGGGACGAAAGACTAAAGACTTCATTTTGATTTGTTAAAAACAATTCAGAAACTATATGGACTATAAGAAAAACACATCCTCGTGTCTATAGCTTCTGGTCTCAATATGAGGAAACAAAAGAAAGGTACCATGTTCAATGATCTGTTCAACAATGCACTATAAATAAAACAGATGTATTTTATATACCAAAACAAAAGCTTAGCACCATGTAAAATTACCTGCCTAGTCATTCCAAGTATTTGCTGCCATCTACAGCAACAGAGTGGTATACCCAAAGCCAAGGCTGTTTCAGTCTGTACATCAACTGGTTGCCAAAAGATGGATGGTTCATGTTTATAGCAGAACTTGAAAATGGCCCAAAATTGAGAAGCCATCAACATGGCTTTAGCGAAGTTAGTTCACATAGCAACATATCTGTGAAGATTCTCAGTCATCCAGGTGAGGTTATCTGGGAGTGGAGTCATGGCAACTAGACTTTTTTATTAGGTTGAATGTTTTGCTACTCATTCACGTAGCTTCTTTAGTCTGATGAGAGTTGGCAGGAGACCCCTGATATATTTATTCTCCATGTTGGTTTCACTTTCCCCTGATCTGAATAGGCTTGTTAGATGGACAAAGGACTGGGGGGTGAGTGAAAATCCCACTTCTGCAGTCCTTCTCCATCCTTTGCCATGGGTGGTTAACAGCGGTCTTCCTGGTGTGTGGCCCTGATCTTTCTGGGATGAATGAAAGGGCAGCATGTATAAATGTGATTAGAGAATACAAACATGGCTTGTTTCCATTATGTACAGCTCAGATTAGTTTGGAGTTCTGATGCCATGCTAGACTATTATAGCATCTAAAGTGATAGCAGAAGCTTCTAGAATCTTCCCTACAACCACAGTGAAGGACAGGTGAGTGCCCATTGTGGTACATCCTAACTAAAATCTCATTTAATATAAGGTACTGTGGCACCATCTACAACAGGATTATACTGTATAAAAGATTAATCCAGTCTCTGAGGCATATCTATAGTCAGGAGTCCACACATTTTGCCTGGGCTTGATAGCTTGTTGTTGTTTGATTCTTGTTGTTTCTAGCAGGCATTGAAGTAAATCTTTCTTGATGTATTTTCTAAAGAAGCAGAATAAACATTTCCCTTTTGCTTGTTTCTTTACAAGGAGGGTTTAGAAGGAAGAAAGCAGTGGATGGTTAATAAGATTCGCATAGTTTCTACATCTCAGGGGGCTTTTGACAAATATACTCTCTCTATACCCTTGCCAGCAGCTTTTAATTTAAAAAAATGTGGAGACCACTGAAAACTTTGCCTGTTGGTCACTATTATTTCTAGTTGCCAATGCCAACCTAGGAATTATATTTTTTAACCACTGTGCCAGTTGTAAATATCACTGAATTCGATGAACATCAACAGTTTAATTTTTTTCTTTTTAATGTATTTTTTAGGATTCCACTCAAGAAAATGCCCTCAATCCGAGAAACCCTGCAGAAGATGGGCATGAAAGTGTCAGATGTTTTTCCTTCCTTGAAGCATAGTATATACTACCTTGGTGATGGGCATCACAATGGAACAGCACCTACCATCCTCACAAACTACCTGGATGTGAGTGTTTGAAATGCTCTTGAGCAAGGATGTTGGCAAAATGGAGATGCCCAGGTTTTTTTTAATGTTGAAGTTTATGAAATAAGCTGTGATTAACTTTTAGGAGCAAGAAGTCTCACCATTTCTCTTTTTTATTACAACATGTCTTTTAGATGCAGTATTATGGTGAAATCAGTATTGGGACTCCAGACCAGATCTTCAAAGTTGTCTTTGACACAGGATCATCCAACCTTTGGGTACCTTCTGAACAATGTTCTCCACTGTTTAGTGCCTGTGGTAAGTCTGGCCAAATACTATATCACTCCTATTCGTGGAAATATATAGCAACAATGTAGTATGCAGATATTGAGATATATACATTTTCACATTGAACAACTTTTAATCATGACCTAGGCTGGTTTACTCTAAGCTTTATACCATGTAGACCCCAGAAAATAGAATGCACTTGATTGTGATTATGAAATGAGACATAAAATAGTCTCCCTCGACGTCTAATATGCTAGAGTCTGCCATATGAATTCACCACTCCTATTTAATATTAAAATGAACAAGTATGGAAGCTAAGTAGGAATCCTCAAACAGAGACCTACAGAAATAGCCATAGGCTGCATGACTGGCCTGATGCGCTTGCAAATAAATTGTTGATAGCATGTGTACCTGCACACTTTGTGTTATGTGGAGATTTGCAGAAGGGAATAATTTATATTGCCCTGTTGTCACATAGGTGTGGCAGATTCCACTGCCTCCACCACATCATTTTCTGGATGTAGGAGATCTACATCCAGAAATTAGCTTCTGAATATCACTGGTAAATTACAGGACAATTATCAGCAAGCCCACAGTGCCAGAGGACTGGAGGATAGCACATGTCACGCCAATTTTTAAAAAGGGAAGGAGGGAGGACCTCGGAAACTACAGGCCGATTAGCCTAACATCTGTTCCAGGGAAGATGGTAAAAAGCCTCATCCAAGAAAATCTTAAAACACATAGAAGAACAGCCCTTGCTGAGGGAAAATCAGCATGGCTTTTGGAAGGGTCAGTCTTGCCTCACAAACATTTCAGAATTATTTTAAAAGATGAACAGGAATGTTGCTGCAGGTGAACCAGTGGATATTGTCTATCTGAATTTCCAGGAGGTGTTTGACACGGTCTCTTACCAAAGGCTGATGAGAAAACTCCACAGTTAGGGGATAAGAAGGCAGGTGCTCTTATGGATTGAGAATTGGTTGAGAACCAAGAAACAGAGTAGGTCTCTATGGCCAATTTTCACAATGGAGAGCTGAAGAGCGGTGTGCCCCAGGAATCTGTCCTGGGCCAGGTGCTTTTCAACCTTTTCATAAATGATCTTGAGACAGAGATAAGCAGTGAGGTGGCCAAGTTTGCAAATGACACAAAACTTTTTTGGCTGGTGAAGGGGAGAAGGAATGTGAAGAGCTCCAGAAGGATCTCTCCAAACTGGGAAAATGGGAGGCAAAATGGCAAATGTGTTTCATAAGAAAATGTAAAGTAATGCACATTGGGCAAAAAATCAAAACTTTTTTTATCAGCTAATGGGTTCTGAGCTCTCTATGATGGATCAGGAAAGAGATCTTGATGTGCTGGCTGGTGGAGATTTTGATGAAAGTGTCAACCCAGTGTGTGGCAGCAGTGAAGAAGACCAATTCCATACTAGGTATCATTAAAAAAGGGACTGAAAATAAAACAGCCAGCATGTCATTGTTCAAAATGCTGTTAATCTGCACCTAGAGTATTGCATACAGTTCTGGTCGCCGCACCTCAAAAAAGACATAGTGGAACTGGAAAAGATGCAGAAGAGAGCAATTAAAGTGATGACTGGGCTGGGGCACCTCCCTTATGAGGAAAGGCTACAGCATTTGGGGCTCTTTAGTCTAGAGAAAAGGCTCCTGAGGGGGGACATGATTGTGTTGTATAAAATTATGCAGGGGGGGATAAAGTGGATATAGGGAAGCTCTTTTCCCTCTCATGCAATACCAGAACCAGGGGACATCCACTCCAATTGAGTGTGGGGAGAGTGAGAACAAATATATATATATTTCTTTACCCAGCATGTTGTTAGTCTGTGGAACTCCTTGCCACAGGATGCGCTGATGGCATCTGGCCTAGATGCCTTTAAAAGGGGATTGGACAGATTCCTGAAGGAAAAGTCCATTGCAGGTTACAAGCCATGATGGGGATGTACTGTATAATCTTCAGACTTAAAAAGAAGGTACCTCAAAATGCCAGATGCCGGGGAGGCATCAGGAGAGAGGTATCTAGTTGTCTTGTGGCTCCCAGAGGCATCTGGTGGGGCCACTGGCCTGATCTAGCAGGGCTCTTCTTATCTTCTTAACTTGGTGGCTGCCACTATGAGTGTTATTTGTTTGTTAGAACTGAAGGTCAGGCTATGAATAACCTGTCTACTATACAGCTAACATAATAGTAAAATTAATTAATAATTGTGTGTTATCAAGTCAATTCTTACTAATCACAACCCTTTTCCAAGTTTTTCAAGGAGAGAATATTCAGAAGTGGTTTACTGTTCCTTTGTTCTGGTCCTGCACACCTTGCCTGCGGCCACACAGGCTGGCTTTTCTGGGGTACACATTGGGGAATTGAACTCCCTATCTCCGGGTCCATAACCAGATATCTAACTGGCTGAGCTGTCTAGCCAGATATATTAAAAATTAGATATTACATATACCTCTGCTTGAAACAAATATTTTAACATACCATTTGGTGGTGGGTTTTTTTTTGGGGGGGGGGGCTGCTGCCATTTTGCCTCCTGTGTCCTCTCTTATTAGTTTTACTGGTAGATAAAATAACTATGCTCATTCTAGGCCTAGTATGGTTCACTTCCCTCATTCTGGGGGCTTTCTTATGGAAAAGTCCCTGACACTTCATCTAGTGCCCGCTTTGTTACTCTTATCATCCATGCAAGACCAGCAGAGCAGCCGTAGCAATGTAGCTTTCCATCACTGGTTGAAAGGACCTCCCTGGTGTACCCCTTGCTCTGTGGAAGGATCTTCCCTCTGCCATATCCAGTGGTCCCTGGGGTACCTCAAAAAGTGCATAGGATTGCACCCTTGGACTACAGTTCTCCATGGGGGAGTAAATCCCATTGAAGTTAGTGGCACTTACTTCTGAATAAATAGCACTAACTTCAATGGAATTTACTCCCCCATGGAGTATTTACTTCTGAGTAAGTAGATTTACACTGCAATTACATAAATCTTTCTTCATGGTAACTGTACCACTGACTGATATAATTTACTGAATAATGACATTCATTTTTCTTCTTTTTAGTTTCACATAACCGCTACGATTCCTCCAAATCGAGTACATACAAGCCAAATGGGACTGAAATTGCAATGCAATATGCCCAAGGATACATCAAGGGTTTCCTTAGTCAGGACATTGTCAGAGTAAGTGCTTCAAAGGAGATTATAGTGTCTATTCCTTTGATTCATATCTCTTTGGGCTTCTGAAGGAGAGAAATACTTCCTTGCTGTCTGGCATGCATTGGTGTGGATTATTTCACACAGAGTCATGGGGGTGGGGGGGGGCAGGATATCTTGAATTGAGAACACGGAGAATTCCGATCCACTCGTCTGCCTTGGGCCTCCTAAATGCACAACTCCTTTGCTTCTTTGCAGTAACTTTTCTCATCTTTTTCCTTCCAGGTTTCTGATATTCCTGTCATCCAGGTGTTTGCAGAAGCTGTGGCACTACCTAACAAACCTTTCATCTATGCCAGATTTGATGGGGTACTTGGCATGGGCTATCCCAGCCAAGCCATAGATGGTGTTATCCCAGTGTTTGACAAAATAATATCTGAGAAGGTCCTGTCGGCAAAAGTGTTCTCTGTCTACTACAGTAGGTGAGTTTTGTTAGCAATACCAAGTCCACACCCCAGTGGCAGAACTAAACAATACAGCTAGCATATCATTAGATGCAGAGTTCCCTTGAGAGGAAAAGACATCTGCTTATCTTATTCCATATTACAAAATAGCTTGTATTTATTTTATGATTGTTTCCTGGGAGATAAACACGGGCTTCTTTTGAAAGTCAGATTGCTTAGGTATAGCTCTTTTAAAAAGTTGTGCACTTTAAGAAAACATGCTATAATAAAAAGAAATACGAATCTCTTTTAGTATGTGTTTTAACCTCCAGACAACTGGAAGCAGTATATATGTGACTGAACTCCAATAATGTTTACTATGCTTGCACTAGTTTCAGTAACTGAAGCTGATATAGTCCAAGGTTCTCATCTAGGTATGTTCTCATTTTATAACTCAGCCTAATCCATTCTAATAAAAGCTCAAGATTTGGAAGTAAAATATGGATTAATCTTGAGCCAAGGCTCAATATAATTCAACTCCAGCATCTTTCTCTCAGTTCCACCACCTTCACAGGTGTGTTTAGTGGAGACACGGGAGAGGGCCTTCTCTGTCACTGCTCTCAGACTCTGGAACTCCTTCCCACAGGAAGCCAGACTGGCCTCATCTTTGCTGTCCTTCCGCAAGCAGATGAAGACCTTTCTTTTCTGGCAGGACTGTCTCTGTGAGACAGGTTTTTAAATGGACTGTTGTGTCTCATTGTTTTGACTGTTTTTGGTGCTGATTTTGGTTACCATTTTAGTGTGGTAATTGTTTGGTTCTTTTCAAAATACGTGTATACTTACTGTTTTTAGCTTTTAAATATAGTTTTTTTGCTGCTGTAAGCCATCTTTTTAAGGAAAAAGGAGGGGTAAAAATATTTTAAACAAATAAATAATGGCAGTTGTTATAATTTCATCCTAGAAACTCTGAGCTGAACACTGGGGGAGAGATTATCCTAGGCGGCAGCGACCCTTCTTACTACACTGGAGACTTCCACTATGTCAGCATTAGCAGGGAAGGCTACTGGCACATTGCTCTTAAAGGGTAAGTGACTGTCACATTTACCACGTGGCCCTTGCTTGTTTCACCAAACAACAGGAGCTCACGCTATGTCCTCCCACCAGCAGATATCAATAGTGATGTTCCCTCTTTTTCCCCACTGCCACCAGTGGATTTCCTTTATCCCCAATGTAAAAGACTTTAGTCATACACTTGTCTAGTTACTGCCAACAGAACTTACTTATTGAAGTGTATTAAATTAAATCAGAATCACAGATGTTCTTTATTCAGTGCATACAATCAAATAATTAAAATGTCATATCTTCCCACATAATCAATCTATCAACCTTGACCAACTTATCTCTAATAGTATATGTTACCAATATCTCCCTTATTATCTCTCTCTCTGTGCAACTTTTATATCTCTCCTTTTCTCTGCCAAAACTTCTTATATCCCCTGACTCCGCCCTTCCACTCCTCTCATAGGCTCATGCAAATGAGATCTTGAATATGAGTGACATGGGGCAATCGTCACAGTGACATACAACATTCAAGTTTTAAAATGAAGGATGCAGGGAGGCAGAATGACAAATCACTCCGGAATCAACTATATATGTATATATATAGTGTTTAATCAGCTTTTAAAGTTTCAAGAAATATGAAATTCCCTGACCAAACAAACCAGATAAATGGGTACTTCCAGGCAAATGATTCATTCCCTGACCAAACAAACCAGATAAATGGATACTTCCAGGCAAATGATTCCAAGTAGAGATGGGGGTATTTGTATTTGAATACGAATACCCACACACAGGTGGACATAATGAGGGTCCAGCCCCCTGAGGCTGGACTGTCCACTCACCTTGCGCTGTTGCCACAAGCTCTGCGCTCCCTTCCTATTGCTCTGGAGCTCACGGTCTGTAAGCCACTCCTGGCAGGAGGCGGGAGGACAAACCTCTCTGCCAGGTTGAAGAGTGGCTTGCAGAGCACAAGCTCTGGAGCGATACCTGTGTGGAGGTATTCGTATGCGAATACTGATACCCCCATCTCTAATTTCGAGCACTGCCTGTCATAAGACACTGTGTGTTAGTCCTTATTGTTTCTCTCCTGAACAGATATTAAAAGAGGCAAGACATTCGTTTTTTTTATGATAGGAAAAACAGCAGATGAAATTATAAGAAAAAGCTTGTTATGATTTATGGCCCATGTATTATGGTCCAGGCCCGTGTTGTTTAGTCATGGCATAAAATTCTATGAATAAAGTATGGTCACTGCAGTATAAAAGCCTTATCCCGAAGCACCCAAACTCCAGTCTTAACCCGTAGTTATTCAGAAAACCCTCCGCAGGGCATCAGTTTGAAGTCCTCAGCACCGCTATTGTAAACCTGCACAAACTGTTAATTTATTGAACTTTGCTTCCAACAGTGCAATGCAATACTCACTGGTTTTTAAATTGGTAAAAATTATATTCAAAACATTAAGGAAGAGAAGGAAAGAAACAGAGAAAGGCAAAAGAGGAGAACCACCCAAAGACATTTTGGAGGTGAAGAACAAGATGGTGCCCCCTCCTTTTCCATATACACAAGATAGCTAGACGGGAAGTTTAAATATTTGCAACACTGCCATTTGTACTTTTCACTGCACCAAAGGCAGCAGGCAATTTTAGGGGGTGCACAGCAGTCTGTTTGAACTGCCTTCCTCTGCCTATAGATAGGGCTGGCCCTGCAAAGAACAGATGTTTTCATTTGTTAATTTTTCAGTGAATTATACCAACAATAATAAAATCTACATTGTTTGGAAATGATTCTGATCTACTGTGTTTCCCAAAAATAAGACAGGGAGGGTCTTACAGATAGATAGGGCTGGCCCTGCAAAGAACAGAATAGATGTTTTCATTTGTTAATTTTTCAGTCAATTATACAACCATAATAAAATCTACACTGTTTGGAAATGATTCTGATCTACCATGTTTCCCCAAAAATAAGACAGGGTCTTACGGTATATTAATATTTGCTTCAAAAACGCATTTTCAGGGAATGTTTTATTTATTTTTTTCATGTACAACAATTTAGGTTTATTCAAATCCAGTCATGTCATCTTCTGGTTGCTGCACAGTGGTGGAGGGCGGACTTTCGCTTCACTATGGCTTATTTTGGGGGTAGGGCTTATATTACGAGCGTCCAGAAAAATCATACTAGACCTTATTTTCGGGTTAGGTCTTATTTTCAGGGAAACAGGGTAATTGGCCTTCTCTCTGGAACTATAAAACAGATTGCCCTGTGTGTCTTGGTGTATGTATGGAATACAGGAGTGTGTCTAAAACCTCTATGGCTATTTTGCTCTCTCTCTCTACAGGGTGTCTGTGGGAGGTGAGATGCTGTTCTGTCATGAAGGTTGCACGGCAGCTGTAGATACCGGATCTTCCTTTATTACAGGACCAGCTAGTGCGGTGTCTGTTCTGATGAAAGTAATAGGGGCTACTTTGCTTGAAGAAAGAGACGTAAGTAAATCATCCCTCCCAAAAGCATATCCTCTAGGCAAGGAGGTCACAATAACAGCAAAAAGTGGGGCCTGGATCTTGCAAAGAATCTACAAAAATGCAGGTTTGTGCTTTGAGCATGGAACTGGTCACCCCAATTCTCTTAGCGAGCCTTTTGCTGGTTAATTCCAGTGGTGAAGGTTTTAAGCAGCTTTTACCGTAATACTGCATGCAGACTGAAACCAGGACAGGAGAGAAACTAGGTGAAATTGCTCTTCTTCTATTGCCCGATGTACCTGGACTTACTTACAACCTGGGCAGGGCACATGAACAGTACCTAAAAGCTTCCCTTCCTTGTCTTAACATTCCTTTCTTCTCTCACAGTATGTTGTTGAATGCAAGAAAATCCATTTGCTGCCTGATATTTCATTCCATCTTGGAGACAGATCATACACACTCAGCGGCCCTGCCTATGTCCTCCAGGTGAGATGCTGGATGATGATTTGCAGTGGGGGCACTATGATCTAACAAGTGTGAACTACTGAAAATAGTAGCTGAAATGAACACAGGAAACTGCCATAAGATGAATCAGACCGTTAGTCCATCTAACCTATAGATTCCCAACTTGTGGGTCACAACCCCCAAAGAGATCGCAAAGGGTTTTCGGGGGGGGGGGTCACCAGGCTTACACAAACAAGGGTTTCTATCCATATACCTATGGCAAAACTAATGGGTCTTTCTCAGCAATGGTTAAAGGCACTGAGTTGGGTTCCTGGAGAGGAAGGAAGCTGGGCAGGGTGGGATGAGGTATGCAGTAAAAAAAGAGTCACTTCCTGTCTTCCTGTCTATTTTTATTCCTCCAAAGAAAAGCAGGGTTTCTGCTTCCCTAAGGGTTGTTTCTCCCTTCCAGGATCTGGGGATTCCCTCCCTAGATGTCCCTGGGGTTGATGTTGGTGAATCCTTCCCAGTGGAGCTGGAGGCTAGGAAAAGCTGGGGGGGGGTAGAGTGTGAGCAAGTGAAACCCAAATTGTCAGCCCAGACAAGCAGAGGGGAGAGGTAAATATTTAGTGATGGTGCTATGTGCTGTCAAAGTGCTGCCACTTTGGGGGGAGGTGTTTAAATTAATGCTCCGCTACCCCTCAAAAAACTCATTCCAATAGTCAAAAACTCTGCTGCTGTCTTGTAAAATAGAGGTTGTGATTTCTGTATTAAGGCAACTCATCTCAAGTTCTGTTTTCCTCTTTTCCTGGCATTTTTGTCTTTTCCAGGGAAGTTTGTTGTCTCATGATAGTTTACTCCATTAAAATTGTGTTTTATGCAAATATGGCAAGATCACAAGCTACTTGCCTATTATAAAATGGGGATCACTACTAAAAACAACAAAAAACAAACCAGGGCCAAACACTAATCTAACCTAATGTTGTTGGACCTGATTGGTACCAACTTTCTAGAGTTTCAGGCATGACTTGTTCTTAGCTGTATCTGGAGATGGCAGGGATAGAACCTGTATCCAAAATAGGTCCTCTACCACTGAGACACAGGCCTTCTCAGGAATAAACAGCAAAGACACTTATTTTTTTCTGTGAATTTCAAAGAGGGTATTCTATTCCATACACACTCCTTACAGTAAGGTGGGAATTGCAAACAATGTTGCATTCCAGTCCTAATCCCTGTACTTGCAGGACCTGTTTAAATACACAGTCATTCAAGAAAAGTAACATGCTTCAATTCTGTTTGATGCTTTTCAACAAAGGATGACAATTATTGTGAAACAATTCAACTGTGGAAGGGATACAATGGCGAGAAATGTTTCCTCCTTTAAATTTTGTTGCCTTTCCAATCAAACAAAACTTGTAAAAGCATGTGTATCTTTCTCAACTGGTTTGTGACCATAATAAATAGTATTATGATGACATGTGCATTTCAAGCTGATGCACTCTAGTGCTGGATCATGGGCTTAATAAGTTGTCCCTATTCGGACTAGCCCTGGAAAGTAAACAACAAGTTGGAAAGATGCCTGTGAAAAACAAGACAGCTGTGAGGAAAGAAGTTCTGCTGATGACTTTAAGTGAGTTACACAAAAGTTCAGAAAGCTCAGAAATTGCTATACCAATTCAGGGCACTACTTTAAAAGCTTATTGGTTTATCAAATGGGGGTGGGGTGGGTGTCACCTTTCCTAGGGGAATGAAAAAATTCTGGGGTGCCTGAAACTGAAGTCACTAAGAAAAGATATTTTGCCAGCTTAAACAAATTTCTGCGCTAGATATTGTTATTAGAATTTAAGATTTTTCATGAAAAATAGTTGTAGTTATTTTTAATTATAACATTTCATTATCAGTTAATTTTAATTTTTTAATTTTAGGTTACTAGTGTTCTGAGGGGTTGGTTAAAAGGCAGCCGGATCACAGCAAAGGAGAGGTGGGGGAGGGATGAGGGTTTCTTAAAAACATTCAAAAAAGGGAGTGCAACACTGAAGTTTGGAAATTACTACATGGAGATGAGCATGAAGTCTCATTGACTGACTCACTTTCCTGCTCCTTTGGACCTTCCCTCTCTTTGCAGCATTCCGAGTACGGGAAAGAGCTTTGTGTTGTGGCGTTCTCGGCTTTCGACATTCCACCTCCACTGGGACCTCTTTGGCTTCTGGGTGCTACTTTCATCGGGCAGTACTACACTGAATTTGACCGGCAGAACAACCGGATTGGCTTTGCTATATCCCTTTGACACCAGGAGACTCCTGTTCTAGAGAATACTAAATATTGAGGAGAGACTATTTAAACTGTGAAACTGAATAGCATAATAATAATATATTATTTTTAACAGCATAAAGCGCTTCTGTAAATATTTTTGCAAAAACCCTCAAATTACTTCACTGTTGCACAACTCAAGACCACACACAAGTGTGAACAGCCTGAATCATATAATCCTTGAACTTCACTCCTACTCCCCAAAGTCCACTGAAAACAGATAACTGAAAACTTGTTGTTTCTACCTGAAAACCAGGATTACTATTAATATTTTCACCTTACATTATACTCTGTACAGCAGATTTTCACTGAAGAGTTATCCTTCCTACTTAAAAGCAGACATGACTATATACTGCAGTAACTATTTCCCTTAATTCCATGGTTATTGACTTTGCTACAAAATGCCTTGTTGCAAAAGTAACCATACACGTGGAAACGAAAGCCAGTGAGAGACAAAATTTTGGGAAAATTACAAGATCATATATACAGTAAACATTTAAAGATTCAGAAATATGAGTTTGTCCAGAAGGATCATAATGGACAACTAGGGTGGATTTGATTTAAATCAAAATGATTTCAAACACAATTTAAATAAAACAGTTTTTTTTTCTGATGATTTAAATCAATTGGATTTTTTGCTTTTTATCCACCCTACTAAATCAATTGGATTTTTTTTTTAAAAATTATTGCTTTTTATCCACCCTATTGGCAACAGAGATTAGCCTTCACAACACTGCATTCTTCAGGGTCCCTTAATTGGAAACAGTATAGACTAACAGTGTCCCAAACCAAAGAGATAATAGTACCAATTTCTTAGGTACCAATCTGTTTGAGATTTGTGATGTGTTTGCATTAACACTGCACATCTATGAGAGACTGGATGAAGCAAGCCAAAGCAGAAAATCATTCATTCATTTAATACTTTTATAACTTACCTTTCTCAAGTAATAACAGACCTCAATACAGTTAAGGATTTCCATGTTATATCCCATCCAGGCAGAGGCCCAAACCTCTTTAGCTTCAAGAGATGGCCTTAAGGTTGGCCTTTAGCTTAAAGGTTGGGACATTGTAGGAGTTAGCAGTGTTTCCAAGGTTTGCCCTTAAGACTATATCCTGGGTTAGAATCAAGCTAATATTCCAATTTTGGCCACCTGAAGAACAATGGAGATACTAAGGTAGAGTGAAATGAATCTGTTGATGTCAATTGCAAATCTTTTATATTATATATAATTATAATGATCCTGGAACATACATGTTATTGGAGCATCTTCCTTCGGCTACTCTGCATATAAATGTCTGAAGAAAGGATTTAGAAAAACAAAGGACTTTTTAGTATGCATGCATAATATATGTCCAACAGAAAGGCAGTCTTTACACTTTCATGGAAAGGCCAGATGGAAATATAACAATAAAAATTCTTCTTCATGGTCTCATATTCTAAACATTAATTAACCTAGGTGCAAATTTTTCATTTTTCTTTTCACAAAATGCTCTCTTTTTTTTATAAAACACAATTACAGTACAGACAGATACATGCACTATATTGTAATGCATAAAGTGTACTGATTATTTTTCACATAGTTTTTTACTTAAATTGTCCAAGTAATGTGTGATTCTTTTTTCCTGTAGGAAAACAGCACTGGATGACATAGCTTTATCGTCTTTACAATGACGCTTTAGATTCTAGGCCACAAAAATGTTTTGCTACAGTAAATCTGTTTGTATTTAAGGCAAAGCTCTTCATTTTTGTTGTTGTTCCTGTTGATATTTGACCTCCTGAAGTTGATACTTGACTTAAAGGATCAAGTTCTACATATCTACTGAGAGGCAAGATATGGGACTGCAGCCTTGGCAGCTAATGGCAAACTACAGTACATGCAATGCTGTGTCATGTATTGCCTCCCTCCTGCCGATCCCCCAGGGTTTGCGTGCTTTCTCTGAGCCCATAGTGCAGCTGTACATCAAAGAAAGACCATAGGTGTACGGGAAGATATAGGTGACGACACCACACTGAAGAAGAGGAATTATACAATTTAACAACACTTAGTTGCCTTGGGTTACAGCTCTGGGAGAAAGGCAGGATACAAATCAAATAAATACATGAATGCACACACACACACACTTTTTCATTGTATACTAAATCTCCTGAAGCTCGAAGTGCCTTACAAAACTGATACATAAAATATAAAATAAACTAGAAAATAGAAAACACAACACAGTCACATTATCACAGCTCTGGGAGAAAGGCAGGATACAAATGAAATAAATACATGAATGCACACATGCACACACTGTTTCATTGTATAGTAAATCTCCTGAAGCTCAAAGTGCCTTACAAAACTGATACATGCCCCATAAAATATAAAATAAACTAGAAAATCGAAAACACAACACAGTCACATTATTAGGAATAATTATTTCCAAAGACCTGCTTTAAAAGTGGGTTTTTCCATTAAAAATGTAAAAGATCCTAAAAGTGATACATACTCACTGATGTACTACCTCACAAAATCAATAATGTAAAACTTTTGCTCCGCTCTTACCTTACCTAGTTTTTGTAATGGATTTCCTACGAATCTAAATAAGCATGCCCTCAAGTCTCTACAGCGCTTAAGAGATGAGCAGTGGCATACTACGCCGTGGGATGAAATTTCCAAACAGTCCTGAAAGGCAGTTACAGGCAGAGCACATTGCAACAGTCAGTCCACTGCCAAAAAGGCTGCTAAATATATTTGTGAGAAGCACTGGCTCTGTTCAGAACTGGAAAGAATCTGTGGAGAACTCCCCATTAACTTCCCCAAATGGTTATTATCCATGATCTTCCAGGTTCTGACTGAAAAAAAAAAGATTAAAATTTCCAAAGAGCCATTACCCAGTTACTCAGGCATGAGAACATTGTTGAACTCCACCTCCTGCCAGCCCCAGACAATAGAACTAACAGTGAGACTGACAGCTGCAGTCCAGAAATACCTGACAGTCTAATCCCATACAGTAAGCAAGGAGGTAACTAGACATGGGCGGGCGGGGGGCAGAGGACCTACTATGCTAATTTATTCTTAGTAAGTAAAGTAAATGAGCTGTACCAGATCACACAAACAGCCAAAGTCTAGTCTAGCATTGTGTTCACAGAGTAGCCAGCGAGGGGTACATGAGGAGCCCACAAGCAGTTCTTGACAGAAATAAAATCCTCCTTAAACTTTCCCCAAAATATTTTAGAAATTAGTCTATATAGTCTGTGGGATCGTCTCTATTTGCAACTAAAGTAAACAGGCCTCTCAGCATTATTTCGTAAAGGCAACATGGACACCTGCATCTGCTCTGAACCACAGATAATACCTACCACAAGTGACTTACGTTTTTCCTTGAACAATCAGAATGGAAGATGGACATGAGACCAAACCACACATGGCAGCTCACACAACCACAAGTGATGTAGGATTTAATTCTCCTCCAGAATTAGATCCCCACTGCCAGACCCTTCTTTTTAGTTAAAGCATCTGGATGACTCCAAGCCCATTCTATTATCACCTCTGCCAGTAAATGACAGGGCAATTTCCTGCCTGCCATTGTGTAAGACATAAAGAAGGTTCTGGATGAGAGCCACAAGTGACCTGCAGGCAGGAGATATTAGCACTTCAGACAGTAACCGACAAGGCAATTAGCCTAAATCGAGCCCCACATAGAAGCTAGGACAATTATAGCCATTTCGATTAAAATAATTAGAATCATTCTACTTTGTCTGAAAAGGGAAATCATTCTCTGTAGCTCTGTGTCACTTATTTGGCTACCAGAATTAGTTGACTTAGCTGGCTGATTAGAAATAAGTATGTTTCAGTTTGGAAACCCAATGAGGTCAGTTAAATTTAAAAGAGTTGGTTTCTTCAGGAGTCTTGGAATTTTTTTAATTAACAAGAATGTTGTTGCTCTGATTTACTAAGTCTGGTTCTCACCAACAGAAATTTTGATTTCTTTGTAAACTGCTACAAGATTTTGGCTGAAATCTAGTGTCCACAGCTTACGCTGTGTAAGGCTGATGATGCCATCAACAGTGCTGACTGGAAATTCCTGTGCAATCTCTTTAATCATCAGGAACCAATGGAGGTTACAGGGCAGAAGGAGGAAGTCTTTAAGGGAAATAATTTCTGTTAAGACAACATTACCAATGATTAAAGGAAACTACACAGGGGCCTCAAGACCTTTAGAATAAACATCTACCAGAACATGACATTTGGGAAAGCAAGTTGTAACAGTGGCTCTTTGTGACCATTGGTCATCACTCCCGCCACACTGCTGCAATGATAGAAATAGTCTATATTAATGAAGTTTTGAGTGAAACTTGAAAACAATTCTGCTGCTTTCTGCTTTTTAAAAACTGTTCTGGGTAGGGTTTGCAGCATGGTTTTGGGTGGGGAGGGGGTTATATTTCTGTGCTGTGATGGGTCTTGCAGTCTTTGTTTGTTTGGGTTTTTCCCCCGTTTCTGATGGGTCTTGCGGGGTTTGTCTGCTTTTGGGGTTCCCCCCCTTTTCCGATGGGTCTTGCAGACTTTGCTTCTTTTGCATTTCCGATGGTTAGATGTGGAAACAATAAGAGCCACATCTACAATACTGTACTTACCAATATATTTTATTAAGGTTGAATGCCGAGCCTGGAGGATTCTGGAAATTACTGTGTAAAAGTTATTTTTCTAAGCTGTAGCTGAGCATACCACTTCCACAAAGACTGTATGGATTGTGCTGGGTTAACTGCTCATCCTGTTACACTAAAACAACATATACTGTTGTAGCCAGCAAACTAGGCTTGAAGGAAAAGATGCACGTTGCTGTTCAAATGTTCTTTGCAGTACCCTACAGACCGAAGGCTGTCACTTTCTATTGTAGATAAAGCTTCTGTGTGTGCTAAACAGAGGAAGTTCAAGACAAGAACTTTCCTAGCACTTCATTTTGGAAAAGTCTTCTAATGTCTTATTTTTTTGCCTCGTGTGCATCTGCTTTTAAAGGCAGAGGCAAAATCAGGAAACCAGTAACCACTGTAATAGTGGAAGCTGAACTACTGGACATTTGGATGTTTTGCAGAAAAATCTGAATTATATTCAGGAGTATTTAATATTATTACATATATGTCCCATAAGACTCCCAATTTGTGTCCTCACTATAACTTTGTGCAGTATGCTGGACTGGAAGAGTAGACTACCCCAAGCTCAGTCAGGCTCAGAACCAAGCAGATTTTGAGCCTTACTCCTGACACATGAATCAATGCTCCAAAATTACTTTAAGCAGCACCTCCCCAAACAATGATACTTGCTTCTAACATGTGTGTCATAGTTAGAAATTGAACCAATATAGTTTCTGCCATAGTAGGAAGTCCATACTGGGATAAGGAGCATTTCCTGAATGTTTGCCTGTCATACACCTCTTTAGCTACTTGATCCTAACAATATTCTCTTGAAAATGTGTCCCTGTAGATCAGTGGAGCTTACTTTCAAATAAACATACATACAAGACTGCAGAATAATAGGCAGAAAGAACCTTTACTGTTTTTTTAACATTACCTGTCATCAAGTCACATCAAATTTAGAGGAGCCCTAGAAAGATTTGTCAAGGTATATTAGATGTTTAAGGAGTGTTTTTTCCAGGGTTATCTCCCAGTGAATTTTCATGGCCAAGAAGGGATATGAACTCAGATGTCCTGAATCCCAGTCCATCATTCTTGAAGGAGAATGTAATAAAGAAGTCCAGTGGGGCCTTCAAGGCGAGTCAGTTTTGTTATAGATAATTTGATGTAGCATAATAAAAGTGAAGCAGGTTATAATACCATTGTAATTATGTTATGGTTATACGTTGCCTGTTTCTGACTATGCACATTCCATGCGCTCTGTTATAGAGTCCAATGAAAAAAATTGTTGTTATAACCGAGCGCGACTGGCCCGATCCATGGGCAGCGTGAATTCACCAGCCTTTTCAAGCAGCCAATTTCGAGTTGCGCCACCCCCACCCCCCACCCTCGTTATCCCTTCCAGCTCGCTGTTCTCGGATTTTGACCATCAGGGAGAAGGAAAGCCGCTTGTGAGGTTTTCTGTCTCGAGAATGACTTGGCACTACAGCTCCACTTCAAGCAGCCAAACAACCTGGGCAGTCTGTCACCTTACCGGGTTGGATGACACCCCCCCCAAAAAAAAACCCAGGCACCCCCTTTTTGCTAACGTTCCACCCGCGCTCCTGGAGCCATCTCCGTGCTTCGGACCACAGACAAACGGCTGCGCGCGCCCCCCTGACGTCACAATGAGGGCCGCGCCGAGTGTTCCAATAGGACCCGTCCTGGGCGAGAAAGGAGGGGGGTGAAGAGAGAGGCGAGCGGGCGAGGCGGTGCCGGCGAAGCGAGTGGCTCATGGATTCGGAGCAGAGCTGGCCCCGCCTCCCGGCCCGGCCCCTTTCCAGCCCCTTCACATGGGCTCCCTCTCGAGCTTGCGGTTGCTGAGGAGGAGTTGTTGTCGGCTGAGGCGGCGCTCGCCCTCCTTCCGTTCCGATAACTCTGCCGCCGCCGCCGCCCCACGACCTGAAGAGAGAGCCAGGTTGCAGGCAGGCTGCCTATGGGGCATGGAGGGAGAAGAGGAGGAGCAGGAGAAGCCGCCGCCGCCGCCGCCTCCTCCACCACCCGGCTCCACGACCTACCCGGCCATTCAGCGTGTCGGCATTGCAGTGGATGAGACGAATGTGCTGCCGGGGGCTTTGCAGCTGATCCGAAAGCTGAGACCACAATGGGAGACCGAGCGTGTTAAAACCAAGGTACGAGCACGGAAATGTACAGAGTTGGCTTGCAGGCTGTGGCAGGGCAGGGCAGGGCGGACCCCTCAGGCGCAAATCACTCTTTTTTGTCTCGCTGACTTGCGGGGTGGGAAGTGGATTTGGGGGGCTTGCCGGAGAAAATCGAAGGGGAGGAATAAAAAAGGAGCAAGAATGGGCGTGGGGAGGAGTTTTTTGTCTCGCTGACTTGCGGGGTGGGAGGTGGATTTGGGGGGCTTGCTGGAGAAAATCGAAGGGGAGGAACAAAAAAGGAGCAAGAATGGGCGTGGGAAGGTTGCGATTATTTCAAAGAAAGAAACCCAATTCCATCTCACTCCAGCTCTTCTTTCTTTCTTTCTTTTTAGGACATTCAACAAGTCTGGGGTGGGTTTGATGCCCAATTGAGACACCCAAATGCTTTCTTTGCAATTCCCCTCTCTCACAAGATAATTGAGTAGCAATTAGAAGCTGCTCAAAACGCCCTTTAACCATCCCACCCTATCACATCATAAGGTCCACCCTTGAACTCCCTATCAAGGTGGTTAAAAAAGTGGTTCTGTTTCACCCCTTTCATGCATGGTTGTGAGCCCAGCAGGGATTCTAATTTGTCAGTTTGCAGTAAAACTCAGGAATATTCTTAAAGGCTTCTCAAACTGGTGTAATCCTTAAAAAGTGAATGTTCTTCATGGCTTCTCAAACTGGTGTAATCCTAAATATGTGGTGGATAGCACACTCATTCTGTCCTTCTCTCATTTCTAAACACCAGATGAAGACTCCTTGCCATTCTTACCCTGCCCCACCCCACAAAAAGGCTCAGAGTGATTGAATACAAGTGGATGCTCTGTGTAGATCATAGTGGTGTTTAAACATGGTGATCAGTTAGCAGGTGGTTCATGAACAAGGCAGTAGAAACCTATGCCTGAAGCTTTGATTTGGCAGTCCTTTCCAGTGTCTAACCAGATCATCTAATTTCTCTTCCTTATTCCTCAGTTTTTACATCTGTATGACGAATGGAATGAGTATGCTTTCCCCCTCTGTTTATCTTGGCACATGTCTCCAAAGGATTCTCTTCAAGGCTGGGTGAAACTCCATTTTCCAGTCTATTTTAAATTGAATGAATGAATGAACTCTGTTTTCCTGTCTGGGATTCTAATTCCTGTAAGGCACATGTTATGTGTGCACCATATGTGTCAACCCATGTTTCTATATTGAGGGTTAGGGAATGCCAAGTTGCCCATAATAAGTCAGAAAGTAAAAGGTAACATTAGTATATAAAACTCTGTGCTACTCCTTATTGTTGCCCCACCCACTGCTTCTGATATGTCTAAAATCCCTAAAGATGGAGTAGCCTACCAATGTCCTCCAGAGTTTTTGGACTACAATTTCTATAATCCCCGAGGACATGATAATTCGGGACCAATGAGATCTGTAATCCAAACATGTGGAGGGGATCAGGTAGCAGTCCCCTATATTAATCAGAACAGGACTGGAAGAAACTGCCATGCCCTGTAGCAACTTTTTAAAGCCCCAGTAGGGAGAGTCTATGTGGGATACGGCCAGGGCTCACTTGTACTTCTTGGAATGAAAGACCCACTTTGTTACTTTCAGTACACACAGTCCTTGGCTGAAAAGATTTAAAAGTACATTCTTGTACTGTGTCAATGAGGCCAACTTGGTTCACGTGAGCAAGGAGTAATTCTGAATGCTGACTCCCTAAAAAAAAGCCAGAATGCTGAACTATCTGTTCTACTTAAGATGGGAAAGGTGTGCTTCATTTAGTAGAAATGACTTCTAAAGATGCAGAGTATTCCTGCTGCAAATTTAACACTTCAATTGCTTAAAACAGAGGTGGAGAAATTGTCATATTCATATATTGTTGGACTCCCAACTTCAATCACCCTAGATAGCTGTGGCCAATGATAGGAGAGGATGTTAGCTGTGATTGAACAAGATCTGGCGATTTGCTAGCCATATAGCAAAATGTGCTTCTTATGAATTTCAAGGTGTGTTTTTATTTATCTTTTCAAATGACAGTTTATTGCTATATTACCAAAATGAAGTACTTTGATGTTGATAGCAGGCCTGATGAAGAATTTCTGTTCCTTTGTTGCTTTGTATTCATGGTAAGAAGAAAATCTGATGCTATACGGTATTCCCATGCAGGAGCAAAGTGAAAAGAAGAGTAAAATGAAGCACTCTGCAAAGGCTGTTCTCCTCAAGAGTAAAGCAGCAGTTACATTTTACTCCAGAACTGTCCTCCTATGTCTTGGAAGAAGTGACAATGGGAAAACTTGATTGGGCTCAGCAAATCAAGAAATGTTTCCTCAATATGTAGTCTTTACCAAACCTAGTTCCAGGAATGTGATTGGGTCCAAAAAAAGGCTATCTCCTCCCTTGTCCTGATTCATTCCATGAACCCTTTAATGCCATCCCTCCATGAACCATGAATCTTAATTTAATGTCCCTTCCTTTGCTCTACTTGGAGATGTAGCCTTGCTAATAAAAAAAATTCCCATATGCCTGTTTAGCTGAAGGTCTGTCTGAGAAGCTTCCATCCCTTCATTACACAAGGTTTATGGTTTTTTCCTTTTATTTTTCTTTTTTATTCAGGGTGTCATGGATGGAGGCACACACTTGAATTCAGGCCAAATAATTTTTGTTGAGAATGTTTTGTAAATGAAGTACACCTTGGGGGTCAAATTTATTCATGTTCTGGGACAGGTAGCTGCAAACTTCTGTAACTGAATCTGTGTAGAGATGTAATTTCTTATTTATCTCACTCTGGTACCCAAAAATGAGAAACCACATTCTCCCCTTCTAATCTGTTAGATGGCAAGATATGTTCCATCACTTTCAAGTAGAGCTTTCATATTTGTGAGAACAATTTTGCGCATATAGTGTAAATTGCACACAACTGCAATAGCTGCTGCTGCTTTACTTCAAGGCCTTTTAAGAAGCAAGGTTGATAGGCATTGAATGGATTTTTATCTTGTTGAACACTAGCTCATTCTGCCTATGCTTGGTGTATATTTCTGTGTGGTTTGGTTTGCTGATGGAAAGGACTAGTTTCATATGAAGACATTATCCTCAGATTGTAGAAACATTGGAAGTGGGGGAGTTGCCCATTGTATGCTCCTTGTGGGGCTTAAAAAATTCCTCACCAGGCTTGAGGCAGCCAAGGAGAAAGGAATTTTGAAAGTATTTTTCAGAGACTCTTCAAGCATCAGAGTGGAAAGATCACTACACTGTTATTTCAGTGTGTAATACTAATGTAATATCAAACTAAAACTGATCTCATAATTTACCTACCAACATTTCTATTTCATTGTTCGAAAAATATAGCTAAAGGCAGCTAGAATAAGAAGAAAACTCATGAAGACAAGCCATGCTGTATTCAAAATATATTTGAATGAATCCGATGGTAGTGGAAAAGCACATTTGGCACAGGTCTTAGAAGAAGCCTAGCAGTGAGAAGGCACCTGTGGAAGCCATCTCCTTCTGCATGTGGCCTTTAGAAAAGAGAAGAGAAACACAACCAACCACCTGTGCAGAGACCCCAAGGTTTATGTGGAAATGTTTTGAAAGGCTGAGAACTGAACTGATTATGTTTGTTTGCTTGGCAAATTTGGCTGTGTGCCCTCAGCCAGAGGTCTCCCAGCAAGCATGGAGAGTCTGTGACAGAAGGATCATTACAAATTTATAATTTGTCAAGCAGAATCAAACAGAAAAAGCGGTGTGAAAATGAATGATAAAGGTCACGTACGGAGAGCTAGGAAAGAAAGTACTAAAAATTAGGCTGTAAGCTCTGTAGGGCAGAGATTCTGCCTGCATATTTAATGCCAGCTTGAGGGTTGTTCCAATTTCAAGGGGCAGGAACAGAGGAAGTCTCTCTCTTTACTTTTCTTGATTGTGTCCTTTATTATTGCTTTGGAAGACTGTGGTGGCATAGTCTAGCTAAAATTAAGAGGATGTGGTTGTAGATTTCATTAGTACTTGACAACTTTTTCTTCTTCTTAAATATCTTGTACAGTATATATATTTCATGCATAGACCTATCATCAGATCTGTCCTGCCTCTGTAAAGGTACAACTGTACTTCCCAGCTGCCTGGTCCACTCCTCAGATGGTATATCTGTTCTTCTGCCCTTTCCCTTGAGGCGGGGAAACCCAAGGAGTGCACAAGGGGCACAAGAATCTATTGAGTTCAATCTGGATTGTTGCTCTCCACTCCCTGGCACACAACCCCCTTTCTGTGGTGTACATTTTAGGGAGAACTGTGCATCTACCACCATCCCCAAATGTGGTGTTCTTGCCTCAAACTCTAGTAGCTTAACAAATCGGTCAAGAAACTAGAAATTAGTACCTGAATTTCCTTTGCACACCAGCCAACGCCTGGATAGGATTTTATGTATTGTATTTAAAAGAAACAATTAAAAGTCCCTGGGAAGATTTGATATACCATAGGTTAGGCGACCAAAGCAGGGGAGATAGGATATAGTAGTAGGAAAAAGGTCCCTCTCTCAAAATAAACCCCTCCCCAAATTCTGCAAGACTAAACTTGCAACTAATAATGCTATGCCCACAAGCTGATGGTGCTCAAGTTCTTGTGGTCAAGACACCATGGTCTCCTTGCTGTTACTAGCAAAGAGCGTTACACCACCATCAGTCTAACATCCCATCCCGGTGGATCATTTACCTCACTTACAGCTGGGTGAACCAGGCCATCACAGTTGGGGTCAGAGAAAATAAGTGTCTTCAAAACTCAGCTTTCCAGGCATGTTGTCTTGTGCCTTCTTAACAATCTCTGTTTCATAGGAGACCAGATTTATTTATTTATTTATTTACTCACTCAAAATAGTTTGGGCTTCTAGATCATTGAAATATTAGGCTGGGGAGCCGTGGACAAAGAGGTTCTGTCTTGTGTGTTTATAAAAGATTGTTAGGAATTCACATAAGATTGCTTATTGTTAGGAATTCACATAAGATCCCAACGTAAGTAATATA